CAGAGTAGAAAGACAGCCAACCAATTGGGAAAAGATCTTTACCAGCAATACATCAGACAAAGGCCTAATATCCAATATATACAGAGAGCTCAAGAAACTAACCCAAACCTAATAAATCAATCACTAAATGGGCAAGGAAGCCAAGGAGAGAGACTTCTCAAAAGAAGGGGTAAGAATAGCAAAGAAACATATGAGGAAATGTTCATCAACCCTGGCCATAAAGGAAATGCAAATAAAAACAACCCTGAGATACCACCTTACCCCAGTCAGAATAGCCTATATCCTAAACTCAGCCAACAACAGATGTTGACAGGGATGTGGGGAAGGAGGAACCCTACTTTACTGCTGGTGGGAATGTACACTAATACTAACACTTTGGAAGGCAGTCTGGAGGTTCCTCAGAAAACTAAATATAGATCTTCCCTACGACCCAGCTATACCACTCCTAGGTATCTACTCTGAGCAACAGGAACCAGGATATAAGGACACATGTACCTCCATGTTCATTGTAGCACTGTTCACAATAGCCAAGATATGGAAACAACCCAGATACCCCACAATAGATGAATGGAACCAAAATATGTGGTATCTATATACAGTGGAATTTTATACAACCATTAGAAAGGATAAAATAATGGCATGCACAGGGAAATGGATGGAACTAGAACAAACCATGTTAAGTGAGGTAAGCCAAGATCAAAGAGACAAACAGTATGTTCTCCCTAATATGCAGAAGTTAGCTTTAAAACACAAAGGGACATGACAAATTACACAGGATTCTAGACACTAACATACAGTGAGACCAAAAGAGGATAGTCTTAGGAGAACATCACCAAGTCGTAATACCCAAGCACCAGTTCATATGTACATAAAATAATATACATACTGAACCGGACTCCAAAGATAAGGCAACAAAGGAGCTCTTCTTAATTTGTCTTTTCATTTTCAGATGACTGTATTCTTTGCCTCATATACACGTGCACATCTGAGGGAAGTGGGAGGAGGGCATAGAATGAGCGGAAAATGGGGGGAAAAGTGCAACAGTGAGCCCACCGGCTGCACTGGACATTGATGAAAGCGAACAAACCAACTCGTAGGCGGAGATGGGAGGGAGGGAATGGGAGAGAATGAGGGAACAGATGATACTAAGCTACCTGACATACGTAAAGATAACCCTGCTGTATATCACTTCTAAAACAACAATAAAGTATTTTTTTTAAGGAAAGCATTTAGGAGTGAAATGAAAAGTGGACACTCTCTACAATATGTTAGGACAATAAAAAAACAAAGGTTATCTGACGTAAGAGTGATAAATCTTCTTTTTGGGAAGTAGGCGTGTGGAAATGCCATTGTCCTTCTGACTCCACTGCTATGTATGTTTAAAAACCTTTACATCATAGTTTTAAAAAGAACTTCTTGTGAAAGAACATACTGTATATCTCAATGCAATAGCAGTTTTCTATATATACCTCTACTTATCCATATGAACATTAACCAAGCTAGCATGGAAGTTTTAATCTAAGAATCCAGTTATTATCAGGGAAAATAATCAACACTTCAGGATTCCCCAAATTCCTACTGCACAGATCATCCTGATTATTTCTTTTATTACTGACATTCACATATGTTATATGTTATATTATTAATAAAATCTAATAATACAACATACTGTATTTAATAAGATTGCATAATTAATAAATAATAAGGCACAAGACAGGAAGTAACTGAGGGAAAAAATGTTAGAAGGGAAAACAACCAGCCCTAACTTTCATCTTTCTGTCTACTCTAATGAGAATTTTCTTTTGGAATGTCTATTTCTTTACAGACCCTCAAATTGGAGAGGCTTAGGTATGACAATGAGTCAGACTGGCAATAATGTCTACTAGAGATTACAAGAGGCTCAGAACACACTCAAACTGTATGTAATAAACAAAGATTAATGTGTTAAACCAGCAGGGTCGAAAGACCTTTGCTGAGAATAAAGAAACCCTTGAGGGCCACAATCAAAAGGCCATTAGCAAAAGATCTTGCTCCAAAGCTTAGCCTTATAGCTTAACAGCACTATAGTGAAAACAACAACAACAGAAACAAAGATCAAAAAAGAAGTCTGGGTAATAACAAAACTGAGATAGTAGAGTCATGATGTAAACACAGTTTCTTGGGAGAAATAACTAGAAAAAAACAAAAAAAAAGTGCCTCAATTTTGTAGTTTGCATCTCTTCCTAAATATACATTTAAGAAATTGTCATAGGATGATATGTTAATAATTTTCTTGTTTTTGCAGATCATCTGAGATTTTATTTAGAACATCTTTCCAAGAACGTATGTGGGAAATAAGCTGAAATACCTGTATTCTAAAGAGAATCACATGAAAGCCTTGATACTTTGTGAGATGTGCATGCTATTCTAGTTGAAAACAGGACATAGGAGGGACTTTTAGAAAATGAGCCAAGTTTGAATTTGTATATGTATATTTGTATGTATTTATACAGCTCACACTTTTTTTTATCCACTCATCAAGCTGAAGGATCTAGTTTGGCTAGAAGAAGGGAAAAATGAATAAAAAAGCGAACAAGGCACAAATGTAGTCTTAATACTAATGTACATACATGAGAAAGGAAGTGGAAAAAGTGAAATGAGGCTGGAGAGAATATTGGAAGGGGTAACTTGATCAAGAAGCACTAGACACTTAAATGGACATGTTAAATTGTAACCCCCTCGTACAACCTTTGGAGTCTCAAACAAAACAAACAAAAAACCACACAGATGAGCCAAATAACAGAAGAACTTTATTTTCTCATATCCCTAACGCCATACGTCCTATGACAGTGAGGTGAGGCTTCTTCTCAGGGAAAAAAGGAGATCCCTGCCAAGTCTACCTGGCTCAGATTTCCATGTGTCAAAACAATTAAAGAGAATGGGTCATATCCATTCTTGAGCCACAGCCTCTGAAATGCTACAAATCCTATTTGACTGCACCTTGACACTAAAGTGTAGGTTGATTTCCTCCTGCACTACTTGGGGTTTGACCCTCTAGTTTGTGTGATCAGTGGTGGGGTTTGTGGCGGAACATATAGCCTGTATGCCATATAAACCCTCAAAATCACTTGGCCCATGATACCACAGACATGCAAACTCCTCATATGCATTGCATTAGCTGCCTGAGGCTGTCTGCCTATACTGTAAACATTCTATGGTCCACAAATAACACCACAGACTGTGTGCCTTCATTGTGGTTTTGGATCAGGATCAGTAAGAGTGGAGATACATAATGAAAAGTTTGTTCCTCTTTTAAGAAGCACTGATACAAATGAAGTAAAAATTACTTCTGAATATCAAAATGTCCTAGAAGAATTACTTCAACTAATGCTTATGATTGCTTTGTGTTTCTTAGTGGAAAATATTTCAAAAGCAGTTAAGTTTCAAAAAAGTAAGTCCACTGCAGCTAGAGAGGAACAGATCTGCCTGGTCTCTGTTCACAAGATGTGGCCATCTGGAATCCCACGGGCACCCTGGGACATGTAGGTCCCGTCCCTACTGCATAGCTGTAAGTGGGCCTGAAGATCAAGACGGACTACACTTGAGCAGGATGACCAGGCATTGTGGTGTTAGGGTTTAACTTCTTTCTTTTTATTAACTGAGGATAATGTTGCAAAGAGTCAAGAAAGTCTTTCTTTAACCAAAGCTCTTGAAGTTGAGAAAACCAGTGCTGAAAGTTGAAAAAAACAGACAATCAGTGAACCACCAGAAAACTGGAAGTGGTGTTGTAGATCAAGTGGTAGAGCACTGGCCTTGAGCTGAAGAGCTGAGGGATAGTGTCCAAGCTCAGAGTTCAAGCCCCACGACCAACAAAAAAACAACAACACAGTAACAAAAAACAAAACAGATAATCAAAGGTAGAGAAGAAAGGGTCCCTTATTCTACCTAGTGCAGGTGTACAGACAGGACAGAAGGCACAGCAGGCACATTACAGACAAAGGGTTCTTCTTAAAGCCAAGGGAACCAAATGAGTGGGGGTTGTCTGTGCAAGGCCATTCCCATGACCGAGCCTCGTGGCTCCTCAATGCCTGATCTGCCCGAACGCCCCCACCCCCAGTACCATTGCTGAGTTCTGCCTCAGGACAAGCCAGCAGTCCTCAGAAGCCCTGCCCTTCAGATCTGCATGCTTTGTTCAGATTCCTGTACAAATGCAGGCCACGTCTAGAAAGCCAATAGGGAGTTGAGGAATCATGGGGTCCGCTGCAGCTGCTAGCTCTGTGACCAGAATCCTGGCTTTACACAGGTTAGGGGATTTTGAGTTTCTTTCATCAGGTTTCAGAGAGTTTAGTTTTGTTCACCCATACTTACTACTGTATGCACATCAAATTCTCAAGAAAAGAGCTTCCTCAGAACAGAATTCAGAACTACCACTTTTTTTGAAGACAGTTAAAAGGCGTATTTACTTCTCTTATTCACATATAAAGGTATGAAAATGCATTTTTAAGTAGAAATGATAGAAAATCTCAGGGCAGCTTTGTGGAAGGAAAATTAGGTTTCCTGGACCTAAAACAATAGTTAAAGATCACTCTCCTTCTTGGAGAAAGAGAAAGATGGATGGAAAAGTGAGGATGGTGTGGGGGGAGGAAGAGAGGAAGAGAAACACAGAGAGGGAAGAGAGAGAAGAAGTGAGAGTGGCGGCCTTAGCTATTGTCTGCTTCAGGGAAGGCAAGTGCTGGGCAGCCATCTGACCAAGCCTCACATGCACCTAGGCAAGGAAATGTCCTTGTTTCACAGGCGTTGTCTGCAAATTCCTCTCAATGCTGCTCGGCTTCGATTCTTACACTTTATCCCATCTCTCTGCTCTTCCCAGCTGATCCTATTGTAGTTTCTCACCCCAGAATGAGGCCCTGACCTCTGAGGGCTGAGCACAAGGAGGCATAGGACAGGGTAGAGGAAGGGGAAAGGAGCTAGGGGGTCTGCATCTCCCACCAGATAGGAAGACAAGGGTATTGGACACTTACTTCAATGGCATCCCTTTCAAAGATGCGTAGCTGCAAGAAGAGTTCAAGCTTGATCTTGCGCTCCTGAAAGAGCTCCTCCATCTGTGACTGGGCCTCGTCCAGCTGTTGCAGCACCGTCTCAATGTGATTGATGGAACTATTGTGGGGGGTCTTGTTGCTGGAGATGGCAGAGTCCCTGTAAGGGCAGGGAGAGAGCGGGATTGTAACAAGACAAACAGGAATTGGATGAGAAAGTGTCACATTGTTAGACATCAGATCCGGCAACTCAAATCTTCAGGGGAAGAGGCTGGCAGGAAGCTGGACTTTGTCTCAGAAAATGGAAAAGGCTTCGCTCTGCAAAACCCCACTATCCTTCCTCTCCGTGGTCCTGCCAAACCCGGGGATGTGCTGCAGAGCATCTGTGACTCGATGGCATGTTTCTAAATCACTCTCAAAGCAGTCTAATAATTACAGAAAATTTTTCTGGTGAAGTTTTAGTTTGAGCACTTTCCCCTTTTAAGAAGAGCAAATAGCTGATACCAATTTATTTATTTATTTATTTTTTGGGTCCGGTTGTGGGGCCTGAACTCTGGGCTTGGGCGCTGTCCCTCAGCTCTTCAGCTCAAGGCTAGCGCTCTACCACTTGAGCCACAGCACCACTTCCGGCTTTTTTGTTTTTGCTTATGTGGTGCTGAGGAATCGAACCCAGGGCCTCAGGCATGCAAGGCAAGCGCTCTACCACTGAGCCACCTTCCCAGCCCCAGCTGATACCAATTTAGAGCAGTGAGAGAATTGCACTGCTTGGGAGGTTGCTCTTTAATGTAATTAATGAGAACTTTACTTTTACACAATTAAGAAAATGCAGTAGCATATAAGGCTATCAGCCCAGATTCTATCAATCATCTTGAATGACACATAGAGGGCTACAGCTTAGTAAGTAGTCCCCAAGAACCAATAAAATGAATTTTTTTCAATTTGTTTCCAAATCTGTCAGTTTCCTGTCTTGTAGTAAGTACATTGGGAGTTACTATCCTGCCACACCCATGGCCTACTAGGCATGGATGGATGTGATGGTGCCTCAGACAGGGTTAAGAGGTGGAGCACTTACCTAGCATGTGAGAGGCTTGGTTTTGATCCCCAGCACTGTAAAACACAGCAACAGAAAAAGGCACCTTTGCTGCCATGCATGAGATAGGCAGGTCACTGGGGCCTGAGGATCTTCTAGGAGGTTGGGATTCACTTATTTATAAAGAAATTTTATAATTCCTAGATGTTAAGAGGATATGTTTAAACTGGGCACCAGTGGCTCACGCTTGTAATACTAGCTACTCAGGAGGCTGAGATCTGAGGATCACGGTTCAAAGCCAGCCGGGGCAGCAAAGTCCATGAGACTCTTATCTCCAATAGATTACCAGAAAACTAGAAGTGGCTCAAGTGGTAGAGTGCTCGCCTTGAACTGAAAAGGTGAGGGATAGCGCCCAGGCCCAGGCCCAGAGTTCAAGCCCCATGACTGACCAAAAAGAAAAAAAAAAAAAAAGAGGACATATTTACAGCTAAATTTTGAGGCTTACTGGTCTATGTTGTAATGAGAAAAAAAGTATGGAACTAAAAAAAATTGAGGAAGGAAGAAAGGAGAGAAAAAAAAGAAAGCTGCTGCTCTCCTTTGAATTCACAAGTATCGTGTTTTCCACCTAGTAGGAAAGAGAATTAGAGCTACTTGCTCAAAAACATAGGAAGAAGGGAACTCCAGCAGAAAGTGAGAATCCATGTGTTTCTCTTCCTCTCTTCCTCCCCCCACACCATCTTCTCTTTTTCACCCATCTTTCTCTTCTCTCTCCAAGAAGGAGAGTGATCTTAGCTATCGTTTTAGGTAACAGGAAAGCCAATTTTCCCTCCACAAACACAGGTAAGGAGCAAGGCTCACCTTAGCTGCTGGATGAGGTCCTCCCCTTCCTTGATCACATTGACAGTCACTTGCAGTGTGGTCTGTTGCTGCTGCCCAAAACGTTTGATGAGATCCTGCACAGCCTCCACTGACTCGGCATACACATCGTCCAGCAGTTCCTTCTGCAGTTCCTCCAGCCATGTCCACAGCTGCAGAGGGACAGGGCACAGTGAGCAGGCAGTACATTGGGCACTTGCATGGGAAGGTACTCCCTGGGAGGGAGGAAGGGAGGGAAGGAAGAGAGGGAAGGAGGGAGGGAGGGAGGAAGCACCACAAACAGTCTGGGCGGCCAGGGGAACACAGGCACAAAAAAGCAGCATGCCACCACTGTGTGGAGAAAATAAACAGGCAAAGGCGGAAGGGACTGTCACAAAAAAGAAAAAGGAAAGGGAAGCTACTCTCCCCTTCTAAGGCTCAATCAGGAGTGCAATGGAAATACAAACACTCCCTCAGAAAACAGGAACATGTGCTGGACACAACAGGCATTCACATGTCCTCTGCCTTAGCAGATGAAGAGTTTTATCCTTGGTAGATGCATTACACTGCATTATTAATTACTAAACCACCACTCAGAGGCACAGAGTTTACATCCCTCAGAAGAGAGAGAGCACACAGTGTGGTGAAATTTATTCATGACTATATTTGGAAGAAGGGCAACACAGTGCCCCCGAGGTAACTGCACTCAGCCCAGGGCTGCAGGGCCAGTTTGTTCCAGTTCAACCTTTCATGATAAGACACAGAATGCACAATGAACACACGTCTCCACTGCCACCAGGGACCTGGACACACCAACTTGGAGCAAGAGCAGTAAAAACTATTTCAGGCCAGCTGGGAGCTGGAAATCGGAGCACTGCCCACTTCCTGGAAGGCCAAGACTCCTTCAAATCTCTGGGGCACCATTCTTGGAATCAAAAGGGCAACAGATCAGACCAAACAGGCCCTGGAGGCTTGATAATATGTTCTGCCTATGGAGCACAGACTTCCAGCTTCCTCAGAGATGGCATCGCACGAATCACGCTGCGTCTATTGAGTCCACCGCTCCACTATAGAAGTTACTAAGAGGAGCAGATGAAAGAGGAAGAGGCAAGAAGGCACTCTATAAACAATGCTCCAGACACATTAATTACTGACATTATAAGGACAAAACCAAACTAACTGAATAGAGATTTGTTCAAGGAAACATTGGCAATCAAATAGCAACATGGCTGTTCTGAGCAATAACAGGTGTCTTACCAAAACAAGCTTGTGATATTTTATTGAGGTTTTTTTACAGGTAATTTTTTTCTTTATTTTAATTTTGATTTTTCTTTTGCTGGTACTGAAGCTTAAACTCAAGGCCTTTTTGTCTTGCTTGGCTCTTTTGTTTTTTTTTTTATTGTAAAGATACTATACAGAGGGTTACAGTTACATGAGTGAGGTAATGAGTACACTTCCTCTTGAACATTGTTACCCCCTCCATTGTTTTCCCCCTACCATCCCCAAAAATATCTGCTATACTGACGCACCAGGACATATCTACTTAGATGACAGCCTGCCTTCCATGTCCAAGCAGCAGGGTGGTGGCAGATGACTGACCATGCCAATAAATAAAATCCACACCATACAGACATGGCCCTCTTCCACACTCTCAAAATGGACATTTATTTGTAAAATGTGTAGCCCTTTGCAATTTCATATATTCTTCTGAAAAGAAAAAAAAATGTTCATTTCACTCCTCCTTTCAAAATCTGAACTCCATCTCCCACCTAAATACTTGGGCTTCACTGAAGCTGTTCCAGGAACTGCTACTAATCAGTCTAGGGAAGAGCCTGACCTCAGGGCCTCGCCTGGGCTTCAGGTCTGCCAGGGCACCATGCCTCTCCCCGACACTGGCTATCTTTCCTGGTGTAGTGTCCAGATGTGAACCTCAGGGATTCCCGGACTACCTTAGACTTCAGTGACTCTCTCTTGACTTAAGTCTAACTCCAGGACCCAGCCTGTAAGACAAGTGGAGCAGAGTGCCTATGTGGATGAAGATGGCTTCAACACCCCTTTTTGTTACATCGTAACATGTTACACTTGTTACATTGTAACAAATCTCACCTTTATACAGGTAAAGAGAAAACTGGAAAAAAACTGCTTTGAACTGGCCCAAGCACAATGTGTAAGTGGAATTCTATATAATGCTACCATAATAGTATAAGTCATTCTTCTTCCACAAATGATAATTAGGATAAAACACTGCTCATAAGAAAAAAAAAGTACATTATGAAGCCAGATGCTTGAGTTGAAATCCCCACTTAACATTTTTAGGGTATAACCTTTGGAATATTACTTTCCTGGATCCATGACTTGGTTTCCACATCTATAAAATTGAAGCCAGCCTGGACTGGAAAAGTTTATGAGACTCCTATCTCCACTAAACTACACAAAAAGCTGGAAGTGGAGCTGTGGCTCAAGTGGTAGAGCCGTAGCCTTGAGCAAAAAGCTCAGGAACAGTGCACAGGTCCTGAAGCCAAGCCCCAGGATTCGTGATAGATAGATAGATAGATAGATAGATAGATAGATAGATAGATAGATAGATAGATAGATAGATAGATAGACAGACAGACAGATAGATAGATAGATATTGGCACGATAATAATACCTACTTCAAAGAGTAACTTTAACGAGAGGACCCAAGTGTATTGGCTAAATAAGTTCAAGGTAGCCACTTTTACTAGTTTTGTTCTCAGAAAAGTGAGTATAAAAATACTCTTTTCTAGGTATTTTTCAAAATGCATATTCAAAATATGTTAGTCTGGAAAGTGTAACATTGTGCTACATTTAAATATCTTTACTCTTTAAAATAACACAGTATGAGGAAAAGATATTACAGGGGTCTGTTAGGCTCTATAGAAATTATTTCCTTCTGAGTTCTACAGGAAGAGACTGGAGTATTTGGGAGTCAAACTTTGGCCTTCCACCTGGTAGTTTTAAAAAAAGAAAAAGGAAGAAAAGAAACAGCTAACATATCCTGTCTAATATCCTGGACACATTTCCCTGGTGGAATGTGCTCACTTACCTAGCCTGAGAGTGAAACCAGTAAGAGATAAAACTGAACAGGAGACTACAGGCTCATGGGATATTGCAAAAGAAAAGAAAAAAAATGCTGTGTAAGGACCTAAAAGTCCATTGCCCCTATTCAATTTTTCTGTCTGGTTCTAGAAGCCAGACAATATGAAGAAAATACTCGCAAAGAAAAGTATTTTGCAATGTCAATGAAGAACATACAATAATGCAACACAATGCAAATGAAATCTCTTTGTAAAAGATTTTAAAATAGTATACACTGTATAAAATAGCCTTGAATAAGTAATGAAAATACTCTCTAGGATGTCTATGAAATTCTTAATTACAAATTTTCGGAAGGTTAAAAAAAAAAACAACCCACACTTCTGTACAAGTTCATGGCACCCTAAACTGATCTGGTGATGGTGTAAGTTTAGACAACACTGCCACCTAGAGGCCTTCAGAGATATGGCCGATTTACAGCCATGAGCCCTGGGTTTTGCAAGCCAGGATAGCAGTTCTAAGGAAGGGAGCTTGAACTCAGGTTGCATGTGTGTGTACAGACCTAGCGCATAACTTGTATACAAAGATACGAATGAACTAGGGAAACACATGAGGTTCTATGTAGAAAACCTCTGAAATAAAGACATGAGACTCATATCAGGCTGTCTCTGATCCAGGAACATTCCTCACCTCAGCTCCTTCCATATAGGTCTCCACAAACCCTGGAGTTCTACAGTGAGAAAGACTCTAACAATCAGCCTTTTCTTACTAACTGGAGATAAAAGATGGGGAGAGTATGGAGGTCAGAAAAGGTTCCTAGAAGAACTCTTGGAGGGCACTGGACACTAGGAACGGACTGGGAGCTGATGAAGTACATGATAGTATCAGAGCTCTGAAACCTAAAAATAATTATAGCTATGATCCCCTGTACTCAAAGATGGGACATCTTCATGAGCTGCAATGCTGGTTTGTAAAAATCCAGTGAGATACACAGAGGTGTGAAAGTGCTCATTTACTACAAGGGCTCTGTACACAGAAGCTACTACCTCTGTACCTGTTTCCCTTCTCTTCTTTTTGATAAAAGACAATCACCTAGGTACTAGTTGGGATGAGTCAACTGTAAAGCCAGTGTGATAACATTAAAGCCATAGCTTCCCAGAGCTACTTGCAGTTACTAACGAAGCAGAAGTGGGCAGTTAGTTACAATGGCAGCTTGCAAGTGTAATTTCAGGGGGCATCTACTATGTGCATAAAATGAGATTCTCTTTCAGAGACAGGGGATGGTTCCCACCATCTACCTGAAATTACAAACTGTACTCTGCGTATATGCATTGAAAGAATTGTAGGCATCGGAATGGCGGCTTTCTATTCTTGGGTAGATGCAATAAAAGATGGCTTTTTATGGTGAAAGACAATTAACACAGGATGTAAACAGGGTATGAATGGGAGCAAACAGTAAATCAGTCAGCATCATGATAAAATATCAATGTGAACATATCCAGGAGGAAAAAAGGAGAAGCAGGTTCAGGGCCTTTCCTCATGTTAAGAAGGAACAATCCAAGGTCCAGTTGTGAAGTGTTCTCCCATATACAACTGAGGCAATATTCAGAGGTTAAGTCAGGGTGTCTGTTGGTCTTGAGGTCCACCTGAGATGACCAGTGCTTCTTCTCCTTTTACCATCTTTGTTATCACTTCTGATCTGCCTATCACTCTCAAATAGAAATGTCTTTCTTTTTCACATACTGAGTAAGAGTCATGCCTCACCACCAGAAACATTTTCCTGGCATCTTTGGAGGACAATGGTCAGTCTTGGTTAGGTCCTAGCTTGTTACTTTCAACAACCTCCTTTCTAGTCACTGTTGTAACAGACAGCCCTTAGTATTGTCTAAATGTTTTAAATGTTGAAAAGCTTAGTCAAACCTTCACCCATTAACTCCACTGCATGCTTGTCATCCAACCCCAAACCCAGTAAAGTATGAAACAAATTTAATAAGTTATAACGTGCTCATTCACTCTTTCTCTCCTCTTTAGAACTCTACCCAAGATTGACCTCAACTGGAGTAAATTCGTGGAATCTATTTTCTTAAAAAAAAAAAAAGATGGAAACTTTTAAAGT